ACAGTTTTTATCACATATAAGGGCTTGTGAGACGGGACCTCCATTTATTGTCCCTATCCGAGAAGACTAGAAAGTCTAACCATTTACAGATATTATTACAAAGACAGCACTTTCTTCTCAGTTATTTAAAGACCCTGAGTGTTGGTCCGGCTGGAGTCGAACTCTCGACCTCCCGCACAACAGTCCAGCGCTATACCAATTGAGCTAACCGGGAGGCGGTTACCTATCCACCCTATCTGCCTAACATTCAAAACGTGAGCTTTTTGACTCTTTACTGTGGCTGGAGTGTCGTCATTCAGACACGAAGAGACTGTTACTCTTTCATTGTCAAAGGCTAACTGAACTTTATTAACAAACATATTACATAATTATATAGAAGTATATGAGTTTACTGACTTGTAGTAATTTTACAGCATGCAGGTATTTCCAGTATAGTAGGATTACTGTGTGTAGTACATTTACTGAATTAAAGTTCAAAGTGCTCACCTTACAACCCATACTAGGTTGTTGTCAATAATTAATATAGGTACATGTATAATCAATACACTACAGTGGCCAATTTACAATTTCAACTTAGTTGACGTAACCAAATTACCTTGTTGTCCCCACTGATGCAGCACCACAGTTTCTTTAGAAACTTATCCCCTTTATTCATTTTTCCACCTAAAGCTAAGCGCACTAATCATTTAATGAACAACTTAAAACACTGCATTAATTAACACTTTGACAAACCTGCAACTGACAGAACTTTTCATACTGTGGTCTTTCTCTTTGCCTCAGTTGCGATGGAAACCATTTGATATCCCTCCTGAAGGAAGCAATATTGACTTCACGCAAGTATGTGAATTAAGGTGTTTATTATATATCAAGTGTAACTCTGACCTAAACAAAATTTGTGTCTGGTGTTGCTACAATTCACTACTTTTAAATCCAGATAAAACTAAACTATTAGTGGTAGGCGTGCCGCAATTGCTACACCAGTTACCTGATTTTACGATAACGCTTTGTGGTAAACAAATATCACAGGTCTATACCTGTGGCAAAGGATCTTGGAGTGTTCTTTGACCAGTGTCTCTCTTATGATGAACATGTACGTAAAACTGTTGCTAGCTGTATGAATAGACTGATTCAAATCAATAGAATTAAGCATTTACTTGATAGGGAAATGCTGTTGTTAATTATTAATAGTTTTGTTTTTAGTAGGCTGTTTTACTGCTCCTCAGTGTGGAGCAATACTTCTGCGACTAATATTCATATGCTTCAACTTGTTCAAAATTTCACAGCCAGGATTATCTTGGGACTCCGCAAATATGATCATATCTCTCCAGGTTTAAGATCGCTTCGATGGCTAAATTTCAAACAAAGACTTATGGTCAATGATGCAGTTATGATGCACAAATGTCTCAAAGGACGGTCACCTTGTTATCTGTCAAATAAATTTTCAACTAGAGCTACTATTCATGATAGACAGACGAGATATAGAGATAGTTTAAATATTCCATCTAGTAGAATCAATTCTGGCCAACGCGCCTTTTATTATCGTGGCGTAAAAGTATGGAATAATTTAAGTAAAGATTTAAGGCAAATCATGAGTACTAAGGTCTTAAAGAGACGTTTAATTAATGAACTGATTTGTAACATGAACGATCTTTGATGATAATTGTTGTTGTTTGCATATTGTAATTAAGTAATATATAAGTAATATGAAAGTATATAGTTATTAAGTTATTTATTTAGTTTTTACTATTTTTAATATTGATGCTGAAAAGCCCTTTCCAGGGATGCTCAATAAAGCGTATATATGTATGTATGTAGGTATGTATGTGAGTAATATACAGTGAATCAAGGGAAGTCTCCATAGAGGACTTCACTGAAAAAAAAAAAACAAGGTTAAAAAGTGACCAGTCTAATTAATGCTATAAAGCAGAACAAAGCTACTCAGTGAAAACCTGGGAACAATGTGTTTCATTCTTGAAATATGGCCCCTCACTGCATCCTTTCATATGCTCACCCTTTTCTTGAAAATGAAGCATAAGTAACCAAAAAATCTGAATAAAAACATGGAGCAGTGTTTTTTTTTTTGTAAGATATAACTGTTCAGGCAAGAATTTTGGCAATAACAGAAACTAGACATGTTGTTGTAACCCTTCAATATTTTTAGTGGTGATTGATCAAAGTGATTCAGATTTTGATTAGCCTCAGTCTTTCTTTATTTGGAAATTGTGTAATTTATTTTCATTCTTAGGGTTTGCACACAATATGTGGAGCAGGGGATCCTCACACAAGGCATGGTGTTGCAATCCATGTCTATGGCTGTGATATCTCTATGAAAGACAAGTGAGAAACACAGAATGGATTTGATATGTCTTTAGTTAATTGTCACTAATTACTGGTATTGATGATAATAACTCTGGGCTCAACTTTTTTCAAAAGCACCACTTGGTTACCCAAAATGGTAAGATGTATGCCACAAATAAAATTATCAGTTGCCCGAAAAAAAGAGGCAGAAAAAAATGCAGTTTCTGCAAAATTACTTGGTCAATGGCTGACCACATGGCTTGTCTTTGGAGTAAACAGCTTACATTCTTTTTTTGGCAATTCACACAACATTTCAAGGCTTAATACTTTTCCACTAAGAAAAAAGAGGCAAAATTTTGCAGAAGAATACAACAAGACATTGAGTATTATTTTATGAGGATGTTTATCTCACTTTGAATACAGACCATGTTAGATTACCTGTAGGTTATGAAATCTTTCAACTTGCTACATGAACCCCAAACACATAGACTTGGGTTGCTAGTTCAGTTGGAATTCCAAATGTATCTTTGTTGTGACTCTGATCTTTGATCCCTAACCCTTTATTAACTCCCTGAAGTGATTAACCTGTTACTTCTACCTATAATATCCATACCTGATTGAGCAAACAATTAATGAGAATGCTCAAACTTATCAAGTAGAAGTTGTTACCTTGACTGAACACCAAATTCTCGTAACTAATTTACAAGGAAATGTGCAGCAGCTAGAGGGGAGAATTCATATTCAGATCTTGGGAGTTAAAGGGTTAAGGGTGTCTAGCATCTACACTGTATTTTTCTCTTACAATATCAACCCTGTCAATCACACAGAAAGAAACTCGCAAGAAAAAAGTGATTACCCACTAAAGAGGCTCTCTCCTTCTCAGCAAGTCAGGAAATGTATACAGAGCAGTATGGAGATATGCATACTGATGTTAGGGGGTAAAGGGTCAAAGAAGTCTGTTCATTTAAACTAACTGCATTTAAAAATCAAGTCAGAGTCCTTGACCTATCAAATGTTATATTGAAAAATAATTGTGAAAATTGTGAGTAATGTAAAACCTAATTTTATCAATTTTAAATTGTTTGTATATAGTTTTTCTTCTCATTATTATTATAATTATTAGTTTAGTTTACGTAGTAGGTGTCCCCAATTAGTTTTTACTTGTAAAAACTAGAACGATTGACATGTTAATAAAGTTATTCATTCATTCATTCATTCATTCATTCAGTAAATATGTTTTCATGATAGTTATAATTTATTTCAGGTGTTTCTATAATGCTGATGGGGATTTCCTTATAGGTGAATATTTCTTTCTCTACTTACTAGATAACTCTTGCTGGTGCAGATAGTGCTTTTCTGAAGTTATCCTTCTGTGGCTGTGTTTCATTTAACCCTGTAACATCCTAAAATTCCATCTACTTTTATCTACAAAACATGCTATACAGCATCATTTTATTTCATTCCATCTCATCCAAACCAATCCTGTCCAGTCTCCCCTCCCATTCGATATGATACAAGCCTGTCCCATCTCATCTTATTATCCATCCCATGCATTTCATTTAATCTCATATTAATTGCATTATGTCAAACAAATTGCATTGCTTGAATTACAAAGAAGCCCTTTGAATCCAATAAACCATCTGATTGTTTATTTATTGAATAAATGAGATCACTTAATATATTCTTTTGGTATCCCACAGTGTACAACATCACTAATCTCAACACTCACTGTCTGAGTGCTCTAGATGGTAACTGTTAAATACATATTTAGTTTCTTTACATAATTCTTTGTCTGTTGCAGTTCCACAAAAGGGGACCTTGATGATAACAACAGAATTTGGCAAAATGGAAGTGAAACCAAATGAAATTTGTATAATCCAGGTAACAGCACTTTCACCATCTTCTCTTCGCTTTTTTTTCTGTTTTTATTATTATTATAATAATTACTATTTTTTTTTAACCTGTGGCTTTCAGCCCATCAGTCCTATGAGCTGTGATTATCAGTTTATATAAAAGATATTATTAAATATATATTGATTATAAATTTGCCTTGCTATTTCTATGAGCTGTGGGGTAGATGGGCAATTCCTTGAGAACAGAGGAAATTGTCACCTAAGTTCAGCTATGTGGATATAACACCAAATCAAGTTTACAAGAATTGAGCCAACAACAAAATCTTTTGTCATCTTAAATTGGAATCCATTAGCTTCCAGACTGGTGCTAGTGAAAGAAGACAGTGTTTAATTTTCTTCAAGGTTCAGTACTTAAACTCATTCGATAGGTTGTATAATTGTTTGTGTTTTAAGATTGTCATCGAATCTTTTAAATTGAATCTTTTCTAAATTAAAATTTAGTTTGAACCACATTACATAATTATTTTAACAATATTTTCTTTGAATATGATCTTTCATTCATTTTGCAGCAAGGAATTAGATATTCAGTGGAGATCAGTGAACCCTCGAGGGGATATATTCTGGAGGTGTTTGATGCCCACTTTGTGTTGCCAAATTTGGGACCAATAGGTACTGTAATTATGGAGCTTTAGAAGAGATATTCAGTTCAAGATATGCTATAGGTAGCAGATTGTTAATGGCTGTTTTGTTACTAGGGAGGGAGGGGTAGGGACATGTTAGACACTATATTTCAGTTTTGAGGGGGAAGGAGGAAGGGGCTTAAATTGTAAGAGCTAAATTGTAAGTATGTGATTTAATGATGAAAAGTTAATTTCTGATAGTGTGATGATTTGGATCCATAAAGTTAACGACTTCACCCATTAATAACCCTTTAACTCCTAGAAGTGATAAAAATGTAACTTCTCCCTGTAATGGCTGGACATTATTCAGCACAGGTAATGAGAATACTTGAACTTATCAGGTAGAAGTTTTTCTCTTGATCTTGCACCAAATTCTTATCACTTATTTACAGGGAGAGGTGCATTGGTGATTAGATCTTGGAATGTAAAGGGTTAACCCATGAGTGACCAAAACAGTATTTCCCATCACGTTATCAATACAATATCAAGCAGACAAGTGATGAGAATAGAGAATAATTAATATTAGTATATATTAAAACAGTGGATAGCGTTGAAGGCACGCTCTGATTGGCTAGTCAAACTCTGACTATCCTTTGCTATTCACCTCCGAGCAACTCGGGAAAAAATGGCATCCCAGTTTGCATACATGACAAGTGAAGAAATCACTCAAATTAATTTTTGGTGGTGTATATTATCTCACTGTTTTAGTATATACTAAAACAACAATTCACCTCAGTGTTGGTGGTTAGTGATGGATTTTTACCTCGTCGCTTTGTGGCTCAGTAAATATCCACCACTAACCACCTCCACTTTGGTGAATAGTTATTAAATATCAATTAGGTGATTATAAATTGATCCAAGACCAAATTCTCCAAATTAACCACATAAGGATTGTAGAGCAGATGGTAAGGAAAATATCACTAATTGTTCTTGAGAGGGAAATTGTGAACAGCATGTTTTATTGTTGAAATGATAACTGTTATTTATATAAGAAGAAAAAATCAGAAGAAAAACTCTTTAGGTAAAGTAAGTGGTAAATTTACTATTTATTAAAAAGCATAATTATTAAGTATTGTGTGTTTGACTAAGTTATCGAGTGCTTGTCTTTTAAAATGTGGATCACTCTTTGAAGCTAACCATTCAACAAAATGTGGATTGCTCATTGAAGCTAGCCATTCAACTGCAAACTCAAATGACCGTTTGGGCTTTGAGACAAATCATATTATCAGTATTATTTTCCTTCAAGCTCTACTGCCAGCACCCACTTTCACATTGAAACTTCCAGTGAAAAAATATAAGTACTGTGTGACTGACTAAGTTATTGTGTACTTGTCAGGTGCAAATGGACTGGCTAACCCCCGGGACTTCTTGACACCAGTAGCATGGTATGAGGACAGAGATGTGGAATCTGGTTTCTCTGTGATCAGCAAGTACCAAGGAAAGCTATTCAAAGCTATACAGGTATTGCTATTTGTATCTAAAACAGCAAATGGTTAAGATTCCTGTATCACTGAAGTTTCATTTAAATCTTACTTGTGAGGAGGGAAATGAAACTCCACTTTTTTGGTTAAGGAGGAGAGTTGAACAATTTTGAGCTTAGTTTTGAAATGAAGCAAAATTAGTTTAATTTTTGAATATTTAGAAACTCAGCTGTCGCAGCAAGGGACATTGTTACTTGATGAAAGTTGAACCAAAAAAAAAAAAACACTGCAAAACAGTTGGTCTTGTTAGGATTTTATCATCCTACGATAGACGGACAAGAAAGAATAACTAGACAACATTAAAAGTCAACTATTTTCCTAAGGATCACTTTACATGTAAAAGGATATGCTATCAATTGAAGGTGGCCTTTATCTTACCAAATTTCCTCAATCATACCTCTTGTTTGACAAACGTGAACATGAGTGCCATTCCTAGAGTCATCTGTTCTTAAATGATGAAACTCAAGTCAGTAGAGGATATCCCACAAGTTGTGCCCTCATAAGAATTTGTGGAGTAAGAGTAAGATATCATTGGTAAGAGTTTTTTGAAATGGTGCAATCTCATTTCCTAAATTTCGAACGTTTATGGAATTTTTCAGGGTCATTCTGCATTTGATGTTGTAGCTTGGCATGGCAATTATGCTCCATACAAATATGATCTCAACTGTTTTAACGTCGTGAACACTGTCTCTTTCGACCACATTGTAAGTATAGTCCCAATTTCGCATTAAATGTAATAATAATTGATCATAATTTATTATTTATAATGTGCAAATTAACACTGGGATATGATCAAATGGGCATTTCAATGTTTTGCAGGGGACTTAAACAGACTACTAGCAGCAAATGTAACCCACTGTTTCACGGATTACGCACTGTGTATTACTCTGGAATTTGTTTTAGATGCTGGAATTTATTATCCAATGTACTTTTGTTTCCAGGATCCTTCTGTCTTCACTGTTCTGACTTGTCCCAGTCTAAGACCAGGAACTGCAATTGCAGACTTTGTTATATTTCCACCAAGGTGGAGTGTGGCTGAAAACACATTTAGACCTCCTTATTATCACCGTAAGTTACTACGCTGGGGTCTCTCAACGATTTCATACGTAAAATTTATGTAATGTTATCCTCAGTGGTAGATATTTGACGCGAACGCGAAAGAACGGACAGGTGACTTCTCGCTCGTGATCACCCCGTGGCAAGTTGAAGAAAAAACGAAAAGTTGAGAACTCTAACGAGTTTTGATAAAAAAGCACTAGCGTTAACTCACAAAAATGCATTTACCTGCTGGATTTAACAATAGATGTTTGAAGCAATTGGGCTTGCAGGGGGGGAATGGATGCAGGGGGGGAATGGATGCAGGGGGGGAATGGATGCAGGGGGGGAATGGATGCAGGGTAGAAAACGGTCTCAATCTTCTATGGGATTTATTGCTATCAGAGAAAATGTTCACCGTGCAGAAAGTCTTCAACGCCTTTACGTTGTTATTGATGTTGAGTGTTTTATACTATTCCTTACCCAGGCAACTGCATGAGTGAGTTTATGGGCTTGATTTTTGGTAAATATGAAGCGAAGGTAGGTCAGGAATTTTAATATTTGTTTGACAGCAGCAAGCCGTTTTCTGTCCCTTGTTAAAAAATTTAGAGAACCAGGTTTGAAATAGAAGCGGTTCTATGTTTATAAAGGTGCTGATTGTTTCAGTGTTGAAACAAATGACTCGTAAGGAATAAAGGAGAGGAACAGTTGCAAGTCCCCCCCCCCCTACCTCCCCCTCACTGAAATAATGGGTGAGTCAACGGCTGCGAAATCAGAACTTCAAAAGAATCGTTCTTCTTCATACTTAGGACATTTTTTCCATTGAGTAGCGTTACCAAAATCAAAAGTCAACACTCATGTAGGAGTCGAAGAGAATTAAAGTTGACTCCTGTGAACGGCAAGGGATCAAATCCTGATTGGGTTTCGTTTGACTTTATTCTGACTTTATTCTGAGTAACTTTAGACTGATGTCTTTAAGATGGCTATTTCACATTATCATTTTAGTTGGTAAAACCGAATTATCTTGAAACTCCTTCCCCCTGCCACTCCACCCCTCCATTGATGCAGCACCACAGTAACTTTAGAAACTGACCCCCCTTGACTGGTCACTTTCCAAGAGCAATTACAGAGTGAAGTTAGGCAAAACCAAAGCTATACATAATTACTATTAAAGACGTCGAGTTGAAAAATTACTTTTTGTCCATCTTACCCCAGGTTGGAAAGATAAATGAATTCGTATGTTTTACGGGGCAAGGTTCGCAGGTTGACAAATACATTAGCCATGCCAACAATCTCTTGCTCTTGCATTTCAGGAAGAAGGATTTGCTCCAGGGGGTGCTAGTCTGCATAGTATGATGACCCCCCACGGACCTGATAGAGATTGTTTTGAGAAGGCGACAGAAGCAGACTTGAAACCTCAACGAGTCGCAGATGGTACTATGGTATGTACAACAAACACTACAGCGACCTTTAACTGTACCAATGAACGTCGATCAACGCACTGAGGAGTTCTCACGAATGCAAACATTACTTAGAATCCCTGAAAATGTGAAGTAAAGTCGGAAGTGTTAAACAGTTGAAAACATGACATAAGTCAGTGGTATAGTCAGGGGGTGTACCCAAGGATGGTAGAGAAACCCCTCTTTAAATCGAGAGTGACTAATGTTTTTTGCAATAGGGTTTGTCGTGATTAATATTTTGCATTCGATTGGTTGAGTAGATTATAGCGAACGTAAATGCACTAATCAGATTCCTTCACCAGTGTGCTTATTTCTCTTGCCAGGCGTTCATGTTTGAAAGTAGCATGAGCATGGCGCTCACTAATTGGGGAAATGAGACTTGCCAGAAGGTGGATCATGATTATTACAAAGTGTGGCAGCCATTACAGAAACACTTCGACCCCAACAGGAAAACACCTTGATGGACAACAAACTATCTTAATGGTCGTAATATTGCATCGGGTTCTGACTGACTAATTTATGCGCATTCGTTTAGACATAACATAGTCACATTGGAAGCCAAATGACGATAGGAAAACATTATGAAGGATCACAGGTTCTCTGAGTGTCGCATCGGTTCTTGCCCGACTTATCTTTAAATACACTTAGACTCAATATAATCGCAGTATTTAACTTTTACACAAGAATAAGGGAACGTAGACTGACAAAGGAAAAATCGGAGTGAAGAGAATCAAACAAATGGCAATGCAAGTGGAACTGGTATCTTTGACGTCATGAAGTGAGATGTTGTTTAGATAAATTACTATTATGATCATTGTGCCCGCAAAGAGGGCAAGTTTGCATACAAATGTACGACCGACTTTTTAATATTTTAAACCATACAATCTCTTTGACGGCGCTAGAGTAATAAGCGTGTTACACATATGTAGTAGAATGTCCTTATAGTGAAGAATTTCTGCATCTCAGGTTGTAAATTTGATCTGATCCGTGAAACTAGAATGAGATATGGGTGGAAGTGCTTTGTAGTTTTCCTTAGGTCGTGATAGTCACTTGGTCACTTTCGTGCGGAAGTGCCCTCTTCTCTTCCCCTCCCCCCCTTCCCCATACCCTTGAACGTTGACTTCACTGTAGAATTCCAACTTGATGTTCCAACTAAACGAGAAACACTTTGGAAAATGGATTGGACAGCTGTAGCCAAAAAGACAGGTTTAATGGTTGAGGTAGTTTAATGTGCCGTTTGCTGGTGTGATTTTAAGAGCATTATAAGACTATTTATCAAAGTTGATGTGTATTGATACGACGAATAAAGGTTGATAGTTTTTAAAGAAACTGTTTGGGGCTGCGTCGGTGGGAGTAACGGTACGGTGGCCCACAAGTGCACACCGAATTCTAAATCTCCACACCGAATTCGAAATCTCCACGCCGAATTCGAAATCTCCACGCCGAATTCGAAATCTCCACGCCAATTCTAAATCTCCACGCCGAATTCTAAATCTCCGCACCGAATTCTAAATCTCCACGCCGAATTCAAATTGCTCACACCGAATTCCAAAGATCTGGGAGACTGGACCGAGTATTGTTTCATCAAATTGGCATTGCTTTGGCCCAGGGCGTTTAGTAGCCCATCTGCCGTTAGAATGTCTTTTGAAATTTTCTGTAGGTAGTCAGGCAAGACCGCGGTTTCGATCCTAATCTTGTGGATCTCGTCAGTTGCCGATTAACTAAATAGACTGGTAGAGATTCGTTCTCGGTATCAGTCACACTTGAGTTGTTTCACAACCATTTCGTACTTGCTTTGTTTCTATTGACTCTTACTTTTGGCAAATTGTATCCATGATCCTTTCCGTTGGGGCATATGTTGTGTTCTTCGTATAGGCTAAGATGCAATATTTTGAGCAGATACTGCAATGTTTTTGCGGGGAGAGAGTTTCCTGCATTGGTTTAGTGTTGGTCTTCAATGATTACTCTGTTTTTGGGGTAATATATTGCTTAGTTTTAAGTGAAATTGATGTTTTTGTAGTTAATTGCTCAATGTTATTCGTTAATGTGGATTCCATGGTACTTTTGCCAAAAACACAAAATACCTTCATACTCGTATCCCCTCATTAAAGTAATGCTTTATCGGTAGCTTTTCGAGATCAAGCTCGATACCGCAGTTGGAGCAAAATCGGTTAATCGATATCGTTGCGCCACAGTCATCACATTTTAACGCTACTGTTCTAGTCACCATTTTCTTTTCCCCATAATTCAATTCGATGAAACAATACTCGGTCCAGTCTCCCAAATCTTTGGAATTCGGTGTGAGCAACTTGAATTCGGCGTTGAGATTTAGAATTCGGTCTGGAGATTTAGAATTCGGTGTGCACTTGTGGGCCACCGTAGTAACGAAATAATTTGAATATATCAACAAAGTTGAAATGGTAAATTACACAACCCACAATTCCCCTATTCGGTCCGACGAAGGGCTAACCCTCGAAACGTCAGCTTTTATAATCGTAACGGTGGCCAATTTACCATTTCAACTTTATTGTTACGACGGCATAGCTCTCCATGGAATATCGAGTTCAGAATTGAAAAGGTCTCAGTTACTGCTCCTTTAATTTTGAAGTTTTGCATGAAGTGCTGCTTTATCCCTTTAAACCCTAAGAATGACCAGCATTTAATTTCTCCTTACAGTAACACAGCTGAGTCATTCATCAAGATCACGAGAATGTAGGCAATGATCACCAACCCAGAGAACTTTGATTGGAGTGACCAACATCTGATTTCTCTTTACAGTAACACAGCTGAGTCATTCATGT